GCTCCGCTCCTGTCACCTCAGGGACTCTTCTCCTGACCCCAGCTGGGGCTGGCGACTCGCCCCCTGGGCACTGCCCTCCGCCACTTCCTTTCCTGGCTGGCAAGCAGCTGGCTGGCGTCTCCGGTCTGTGGGCCCTCCACCTGGTGATGCTCACACCTGGGATACCTCTGGCGTCGGGAGCCTGCTTCCTCCCGAGACCAGAGATGCTGGTTTAGAGCGGGAGGAGGAGTCGACGACCCTCTCCCCGCCTGCTTCAGCAGGGGGTGCCCGGGCAGGAGCCGGGTCAGCCTGGTAGGGGGGCGTCCCCGGGCCTGTGACAGCACCGTGTGCGCACCTGCATCAAGAGGGCCCGCGTGGCGAGGCCTGGGCCTGTCCGACCCCTTCCTAGTGGTGCCTTAGGGAGCGGCAAGAAGGACGGAGGGCCTTGGGCTCGGGCTGGGTGGGCGCCAGGGTGGCCGTGCCATAGCCCCTGCCCCAGGCTGTGTGCCCCTGCCCAGCCACTGGTCCTCACGGGTTGCTTCTGTTCCCACAGCCTCCCCGCTGCTGCTGTTTGCCAACCGCCGGGATGTGCGGCTGGTGGACGCCGGCGGAGTCAAGCTGGAGTCCACCGTCGTGGTCAGCGGCCTGGAGGACGCGGCCGCGGTGGACTTCCAGTTCTCCAAGGGGACAGTGTACTGGACGGACGTGAGCGAAGAGGCCATCAAGCAGACCTACCTGAATCAGACGGGGGCCGCCGTGCAGAACGTGGTCATCTCCGGCCTGGTGTCGCCCGACGGCCTGGCCTGCGACTGGGTCGGCAAGAAGCTGTACTGGACGGACTCGGAGACCAACCGCATCGAGGTGGCCAACCTCAACGGCACGTCCCGGAAGGTCCTCTTCTGGCAGGACCTTGACCAGCCGCGGGCCATCGCCTTGGACCCCGCTCACGGGTAAACCCAGCGGCCGCCCCCTTGGTGGGGTGGGGTGGGGTGGGGTGGGGTGAGGTCATGATTTCCCTTAGAAGTTACTTGAGCCTAAGTTGCTTTTTCTTTTTAAATATATTTTTACTGATTTCAGAGAAGAAGGGAGAGGGAGAGAGAGATAGAAACATCAGTGATGAGAGAATCTTCAATCGGCTGCCTCCTGCACGCCCCCTACTGGGGATCGAGCCCGCAACCCCGGCTTGTGCCCTGACTGGGGATGGAACTGTGAAGGCAGAACCAGCGGGATTGGCTGGCACGGTGGGTTGGAGGGAAAGACAGGAAACAGGGTGAGGGGGCGCTGCTCCGTGCCTCCGTGTCCCCATCTGTGCAGGGGTGTGACCAGGTCACGCGTCACGCAGAGAACACCAGGAACGTTGAGTGGGTTCCGTCAGGGTGAGCTGCCGTCACACCGAACACGCTCCCCCGCCGGAATCCAGTGTCCGTGTCCACGTGAAGGTTTCTCCCTTCTGCCTGCGGCCTTTTGCCATGTTGCTGGGAGGGGCTTGGCCTTGGTGGTGAGGCACGTGGTGCTCGGCTGGGAGCGGTCTTCCCGCTCCCGGCAGGCAGGCTGTGCCTGTTCCACCTCTGGGAGCCGGCCAGCCTCTGGCTCTGGCTTTTCTCATTAAATATTTGAAATCCTTTCCGAAATCCTGCCTCAGAATTCTCCCCCAGATCTACCCCAGGTCCCCCCTCTGCCCCGAGGGGCAAAGTTGAATGCGTAGGCGTCCTGGGCAGGACTGCTGAGGCCCCAGCCTCTCCCCTCTACCCCCCCCCCACGCCTGCCCTGCTTCGGGAATGGGTCTGAAGAGCGAGGGAGCGCAGACAGCTGTGGTCTCCCCCACTCGCCAGGTAACGCCGGAGAATGCTGGACCGCGGCCCCCGGACCCCTCTGGGCTTGTGATGGAGGTCGAGATGCCTGCTCTGTCCCCCGAGGCACCATGTTGCCCAGGAGGGACGAGTCCAGGTCAGGCCCTGGGAGTGTGGGCAGCATTGCTGCCCTCACTAGATCCTGGTCTCTGAGTCCTGGGGCAGGACGCTGCCTGTGAGTGGGGACAGCAGGTTTTGTCCTCTGTCCTGGCCTCAAGCACAAGGTGGCAGGGAGCAGCTTTGCCTCCTCCCAGTCCTGTTGGAGCTCCTGCCATCTCCTTGTGCCCTCCCGTGACACCATCCCCCACAAGGTCCTCCCTCAGATAAGGGGGGGCACCCCTGGCTCCCATCAGGAAGGTCCTCCGTCCCAATGTCCACCTCGGCGTGTGTGTGACCAAGAGCCCACTGCTACAGGCCACGGACCCCAGAAGCAGGACGTGGTGCAGTGTCAGGGAGGCAGAGTGGGCCGTGGGGGGACCCTCTGGCCCCGAGTCCCTGGAGGACAGCAGCCCGGTGCTGGGGGAGGCCCGGCCGGTGCCACATGAGGGGTTGCAGTGGCTGCGGGTCCCCGGTTAAAGCCGGGCTAAAACCCAACCCCCTCTTTAAAATGCAGAGCGGCCCTTCCCTAAAATAACACAACCACAACCGCAGCCTCTGCACAGAGCCCAGGCCGCACTGCTTTCCTTCGGAAGTTGATTTTCCTCCGTGGAATTTGGCCGGGCCTGTGGCCGCGCTCAGGACGTTGCAAGAGCACGTCCACGCCAGCCCGTCTCTGGTAACCGAGTGGCTCGCAAATTCCCCATTTAAGGAAACCAGCGGCCTCTGTTATGAAACTCGGGGGAAGGAATGTGAATTATGCTCCTCCCGGAGGTCCCAGCCTTCCCATTTTCTGGCCTGTCTCGTTGCCCGCAGCAGAGCACTCGGGGAGGCCGAGAGGGGATTGCTCGGAGATTGAGCCTCCTGCCACCTCCTCGGGGGGCGGCGGGCAGCAGGAGGGCCGGGCCCTGCCAGGCTGCAGGGGAGAGGCCAGCCTCTGCGCCGGGCCTGGGGGG